TAATTAATTGACGACTGCAATTGTTTTGTTCTAAATCTCTGTTAAGCTCTAATGATGAGTTTTATTAGAGCTCGTCTACAATGCTGTTGTACTGATATAATGTTAAGATATTGCGATTTGCGAAATTTATAACTGTCAACTATATGTTTGTATACGTTCAGCTTTGCCTGTATATTATTGAGAACAAAAATTCCTTTTCATAGGCGCCTGTTAATTTTAAATACTGATTCAACAGTGTAACTTAGCAGTTCTTATATTATTCATTAAAATTTCTATTCCTCAATTCATTTCATCTACCCACTGCTTTCTAAACCGTACATTCCCGCTCCCTATGTTAAAGGATTCAACTCGTATGTTGAGGATATAACTTCCTCTGTTGGGTGCCGCATTCAAACACTACAATATTGAGAAAAAGGAATCGTCTTGTCCACGGATTTTTGCTTTTTTAAATTATTTTCAAGTGGTGGTAAAATGGAAATTTTTTGTATTCTTGGAAGTATCTTGCGGAACGTGACACAGGGATGCAGATTTCTCGTTATTTCCACCTCAAACTTGGGTAATTCAACATCAAATAAATGAAACATTAAAACTACAAAATACAAATTAACGCATAAAGCTAATTCCAAAAATATCGCCAGAAAATGAATTTTGAGCACACCAATCTGGAGAATAAGAAAAGGGAAGAAATGTCCTCCTATTATCTGAAGAGTTTATATGCACATCCTTCAAGGATTGATTTTACGGTTATAAGGATTAATGTCTTTGTCATCTTGCTCATTGGTAAAGTACTTTGTTAGCACACATTAGTGTAAGATCTCTTTGGGTACATTGCCACAAATAATTTAAATTGTAATACAGGTAGTATTGTAAATACCTGAATCGTATTACAAACAAATCGTAGGGAATTTTCAAACCACCCAAATTATTAGAAATATAACAGATTAGTGTAAAAAGGTGTAGTAACGGCAGTGCAATCTCTATATAGCGCAGTAGTAGCTTACTGAACTTCTGTCTAAACGTCTATTAATAATTCGAACAGTTTTTTGATATTAAAATGAGTTAGGAGGATTTTAGAAACTTGGTTTGACAGATTTTTTTTTTATTGCGTAAATTTCTGAATTTATTGCCAAGTGACTCTAAATTTGATACCTCTCTGTTTCATTTACTTCCCCTTTACAAGTTCCAAAAAAATTCCAACCAGGATAATTTCTGAAAGATTGAAAATCAAACAATCACTCCCTTGTCTCTGAAAAAGAATATTCGCGGCGGGGAAACTTAGATCCTTAATTTCTAAAATTCACCATTTAAAATCATCATATACCCGAAACAATGAAAAATTAATTATTGATTTTTAATTTATTCTTCTCGAATATGAGGGAGAAAAAAAAATGCGAAATCAACAGCAAAGCGTCCTACAAAATGTTGAAATCAATATGTTTGTTTCCAAAGGTTTTGTGACTTCATGACATTACATTCAATTCGACATCCGTAAAAGCGATGCAAACAGATTAATTTATTACTGCAGTTTGAAGTGAATGGTCCATATTGAATATTATTTTCCGTACAAAGCTTTGAACTTTTAGTAAAGAATTTCAAAAGAAATTAAAAGAAAAAAGAAAATATTTGAATTAAGACTAGTTAATTTTCTAACGAGCAGAAAAAATGAAAAAGCAGAAATCAATTGGGATTGAAATAATGAGAATCAAAAAATTTTAGAAAATTATCCATTAAGAAAAGTTTATTTACTGTTACAAACAGAACGCTTATTTTTTGAACTGTGTAGAAAATACGATCATTTAACTTCACAAAAGTTTAACAATGCCCTATCACAAGTGAAATGATTTGAAAATGCATAACGATCGTTAAATACGATAATGTAACACTTTATTGTGATGTTGTAATAGACAAGAACTGCTAGAAGATAATTTATGAAAAATCAAAATGCAGTATTAATCCCAACAGGATAGTTTACGACAAGACCGGCATAGATTAAAAAATAACTGTTTTCGAATTTGTTTTTGAACCACTCAACTTCAACTTCCACATTAGTATGCAACTTATCCATGTGTATTTGTTTTGTATTTTCACATAAATTTTGACCGGTCTAAATGAATGGTAAGAACAATGGTATTTTCCGATCCTTATAAAATCCTTTTTTTTTGTATAAAAGTGTACGTTTTGTATAAATTTCAACACACGTAAAAACGTCAGTATCGGTTAATAATATGGATTTAGTAGAGCTGATCTCATATAAACGAAGAGGTGCATGAGTCCACTTAGTATTTCCAGAGTTTCTTCAATTTCATTGCTAAGAAAGATCAAAATAGCCAATAACCAACCATTAAATCCCTGCATCTGAAGATCACTGCCATATTCCAGGTAAAAAGCTGCAACATTCTCAGAAACCGAAGATGAAAAATTGTCCGTATGATATTCAGAAAACTCTTATTCAGATAGCTGTAACATTCCAGAATTTTCTTATCTTATCTTTTTGTTTCCATTTCTATTTTTAGTAGCGCATATGCTATTGCCATTATATTGGTAAAAAGAAGGTTTTAAGTTTATCAAAGTTAATTTAACTTGAGTAAAGTAACATAGTGATCCGGTATAGCTCAAAAATATCCTAAAGTTACTTCTTGACAGTCCTAATAAACGTAATTATTGCCTTTAGTGCTTGTTATAGTTCCTGCGTATACTACAATAGTTTATTTAAAACTTCAGGAAAAATCATCCTTTTCATATTATTTATGAATGTCTCAGCAAAATATGCACGAACTTGCAAACATTATGGATGAATCTGAAGTAATAGTTTTTTTATTAGTGTTGAAACAGGTAGGAACTTTTATTTTATAATAAATATTTCACGGAAGCAACGGATTACAACGATTATTAAGAAAACAATTATCAATATAAGCTGATGCTGGTTTTATCATTTAAGCTTGTCATGCAAACTGTTGCTCAATGCGCTTGCAACAGCCAAGCTTGCATCGACTTGAAACTGATAAAAATCGATAACTAATTTTTTTGCTGCCAACCATATATATATAAAGTTGATATTTCTAGAACTCTTGTCATTCGCGATATCACTTATATAATTTGAATAAAGTTTTAGAAACGAAGGTCTAACTTTTCTCATAGGTATGAAAAAGTAGTAAGGGAGAAGCACATAAAATGATGTAAGCTTCTGAACATTTCGTGAAAGCAAACAAGACTTATCCCTGAAGCGGTGATTGCTCGTTTGCTGTTGAATTTTGTGATTTAATTTCTGTTTTAATCACGTTGGATACCATTTTGATCGGAATCGTCCTTGCCACATGATCAACCTAATGAATCATGCTAAGTCACATATAACTTGTACAAATGGTTGTAACGGATATGATTATGATACATTACAACCGATTCTTTGTTGCATTATAGTTCGGTCATAAAATTAACCTTTTGGCGCGGGGCGTTTGCAGTAACACTAAGATGTCCATCTGCAGTAAGATTGCTAGTAACTGCATCTGCTGGTACGTTTGAAGGTAATGGAAATTTCCTAAATGCATACAGAATGTAAAATCCACTGTACTATGTCTTCTTTTTTTGATTTTCAAGAAATCTTTCAGTAGAAAATGGACCTAATCAAAAGTCGTTCCACGAGACCAAATTCATCCTCTCGTTCACCATGTCTTGCTTCGACGATTATGTAGGAATTTGCTACCGATACCTGAATTTTGATTCACATACAGCTTCGTTATACATTTGAATTTCATTTTCAATACTTCTTGATTTTTAAATCTCGATTTTTCCAAGAGCTCCCAGTTCAAAGTTAATAGTTACTAAAGTTGCAAAATAGCTTCAGATCCATTAGCTGTCAAAAACAGAAGGATTAACGGCATAAAAAGGAAGAGAAGAAAAGATTTTTCTTCAAAGACCATTTTTAATCAGAAAGACCGAAAGAAAAATAATGCAATTTATTACAAATAGAATAACCGAGTTAAATAATTTTACTTTTACAACTAAAAATTGAAAATTCTGAAGCAAAATCCAACTAAAAAAATTTTAGCTTTGAATTGATCGTTTTTCTGGAAAACGTTTTGTAAATAAATGGAAAAATGAGCAAAAAGGATATGGAAATTTTTGATTTACTTCTGCAGCTGTAACTGTAGTTTTCCCTAAACTCAGTTTTTGAAATCACGGGTAAGACATAAAAAATAAATCAGAGAGATTCGATCCAGAATCCATAAGGGTTCGGAATAACATCCTTTATGCACAACGCCTCATTCTGAGAGACGTAAGTGATCATGGCATTATTATACTATAACCTTTCGAATGTACAAGTGATTACCTTGGCGTATGGAAGCTCACTTTTGAAACAGTAGGAAGAGAAGAGGGAGGAAAAGTCTTTTCTGATCGGAAATTCTGCATGCCGCCGCCGATACGAAGAAAATATAGCAAAGACAACGACAACGTATTGAAATATGAGACCAGGCTTTAGACTACAACGAATCCAATGGTCAACAGGGATGGCCGAAACCGTTAATGGATTAAAATAAAGACATTAAAAACTTTTAAAACATTTCTAAAGTGAGACTTACTTTTAGATCATCCGGTCTGAATTGCGATAAATCCATCTGCACGTAAAAAGAATCGTCGCTCTGCTGATGGGATGTTATCAGGCCTGTTCCTGCTGCTGACATATTCATCGATGTTAATGTGATGGGTGGCGACTGTAAACCTGACTTCATTGACTTCTTGCATTAATTAATAGGAATTTTTCAATAAACTACAACGTTCATTCTCTTAAGAAGAAATTGAAATTGAAATGTTTTTGTGAAAAAAATCGAATGTTGGGACCATCGAAAAGTTGAAATTACAAATTTGGCTTAAACAAATCGAATATGAATTTCATGAAATAACAGCGGAAAAACTGAAATTTTTGCACTAAATTGAGAGCAAAAAGAAGCACCTGATAACTGGAGGTGGATACATGCAACGGTGACCCCATGCTGGATACATGCAACGGTAAACCTGTACCGGTGATTTTTGGGCTTTGTTCAATAATTCGCTTTTCATATGTCCGATTGTAGGATGATGTTCGATTGTACGCTGATGTGGACGACATTTTTTCTGATTTCCTCCTGGAAATATTAGAAATAATCTTTTCCATAAACCTACTTTAAAAATTTTCAAAGTTTGCTTGACGAATTTCTCATTTTTTAAAATATTATGTTGGACCAAAACCTGAAAAGTGCAATCGAATGATTTAGATTATTCAACAAGAAAAACTTTCATTTGTGGCAAAACAAACCTTATAAACTTGCTTCATTATTTTTATAAAATTTTAAAATATGGCCGCCAACATACTTAGTTCATTTGTCAATGAGTATAAAAAAACTACTTCATTTCAAGGTAATGAAGGTCATTTCATTAATTTCAAGTCCATTCTAACCAAGAGTTTTCGATTGTAATTATCACGAGAGTACGCGATTATACTCAATGGTCGTCATGCATTTTCAGTTCTTGCTTTGCATTCTTACACTGCGCTTTGTAAAACTTTTTTAGAATCAAATAGTCGTATTTTTCATGTAGTTTAGATAGAGTAAACTACTTCTTGATTTCCAGCAGTAATAAGAGAGGAGGAAAAGGAATTTTCCAAAATAGATGTTACAGGAAAAGAAAATGGACAAATAGCATCAGGGAAATGGACTAAAGGATTCAGAAGATGGCATTGCTAAAATATCTTACAATTGGCAAGCGCTATAATGCACAAGCAAAGTATTTATTAAATGATAAGTATATTAAAGAAGAAATAAGAAAATGAAACTAAGATAACAGCCCCAAAGAAAATTATATCATGAACTTCCTTTCAAATACAGCTTTATGATCTTCAAAAATGGAATTAACAAAAAACAATAAATTTGGTAACTTAAGTAGTATTTAGTATTTATTTCATTATAAGAAGGATGGAATTTATGCGGTCAATAAAATTTCGTCTTATTCATCTTTGTTTATTGATTTTAAATACGAAAGAGTAGTATAACAGAAATACCCAATCGTCAGATATTTGCAGACTTTAGACGAGTTAAAAACTGTGCCCTCAATCATCATGAAGTGAATAAAAAACAAATTAGGTCGAAATTGCTAGAAACTCCACTCACACTGGCTGAATTTTATTTTCAAAGTCCCATTTTAGTTTTACTTGCAGAAAATGAAAATTGATTTAGTGACGTTGTAATCCAAAAAAAGAAAGGAGACATGCTTAAGGATTAGATATGGCAAATTCCTGATATAACATGGACGCCAATAAAAGTTATTGTTGGTGAGAGTGTACCGAGATCATCAAAACATTGAAGAAGAGAAATAGAAAAATGATACAAGTAGGCCTCAACATGACAGTCATTTGTCTCGGTCCTATTAAAATTTACTAATAACACGCGAACTTTGTAGCTTCAGAAAATTCAATTCCAATACGTTAAAAAAGGTTTTACAAAGTAGAGGTTGACTATCTCTGCTTCCCTTGCAAAATTTTCATTGCAATTTATCACCCTTGTCAAATTAAATAAAAAATTTATTTTGGACCATATTTAAAAACAAAAATCAACTTAGTAATAGATTTGCGTGTAAGTTACCAATTGAAGTGTTTCCAAACCATTTAAATAGAGATATTCTCTATTGTTCTTTTCTCATGTGCTTCGTCAAAAACGAATTGTAGCACTGAGACTGATGACTTTTCGATCTATTCATTATCTCATTAAGATCTGCTTTTGAATTTCAAACAACTATTGCAATTAACTGATGCGCAAAAAAAGCAAATTACATGCGAAGAAAGCTTGGTTTATTGATTTGGAAGTAGTCTTCCTGAGAAATAAAAAAAGAAGAACACAAAAACACTAATTTCAATAATCTTAAGGTAACATGACTGAGCGGCCCTATCCATTTGTCACACCATCATCAAATCTCAGTGGATTCCTTAAAAATAACGGATAACGAAAGAGAAAATAGGACAAGCGTGTATTGTTTCCTTATTTCTTTTTATATTGCCATAATCAGAAACTTTTTACAATAAACACAAGTGCTTGAAATTAATTGTTGGGTCATGTCAGGATTTCTCGAGCTTCATCACCACAGTGAAAGTTCATACTTCTAAAAAGGTGGGTAGGGGGGACGTTATATAATTGGAAAAAAACATTTGATGCTCCTTACAGTAAATCTTGATGATGTCATAACAAAATCGAAATTCGGATTGATGAGGTTATTCGGGTACCAGTTATCATTCCAAGATAATTACCGGAAACTTTGACAAATTATCTGGAACTTCTTCAAAACTAAAGGCCATAAAAACTAAAGCTTTTTCTTTCTCATTGTGTCGCGAAAACATTATGCAATACAGTTTTCGGTAATTATATGTGCTTCTTCTTTATCCAACCAGAGAGTTCTGTCGACACGTAGGCCTTAATAAAAGAATTCAGAATTCCCACTTATGAACGGCAACCTGAATGTCAAAGTCTTATTCAAAATAATTTCAATAAAACAAAATACAAGGAAAGTTTGGGAGTTCAAGCTCTAATTAAGCATTTCTAGTTTTACGTTTTTTCCACTCTAGCTTCTCTTAGAAAGACTATTCAGCACATACTTTTACAAATTCGTGGAAAGGATGACGAGGGAATGAAAGGTTTAACAAACTTTTCCATGGAAACAAACCGCAACGCATCCTCATTTTCATTTGTTCTGTTCAAATTGCTCTAGTCTATTTCAGGAACTTAAAGAGCAGGGAGGGAAGGAAGGGATGAGGTAAAGGTCAAACACGTATTCGAGAACGAAGTGTTTATTTTAGATAAGTGAAGTTGTAAGCTAAAGGAGGATGAAGTTGGTCGGCAGGTGAAACTGATTTTAATGGCTCAGTTGGAAGTGGAATGCAGTATGTAAAAAGTGAGAACGGGGAGCCATACCAACTGCTACATGAATAAGTTCTCTATACGTTTCACATGTGCTTTTTCTTTATCCAACCAGAGAGTTTCATCGACACAATACAATTCTAAAAGCTTTTTTTTTCCTGAACTAGTCAATCTGAAATAATTCGATCTATCCTCATGCGCTCATTACCCACGCATTTGCACTATTTGCACGGGCAAGATCCTTAGAGTGTCAGAATGGCGGAGAAATCTGAACCATAAGGTAGGCTTAGCTATCACCATAATTCACTACCAATATTTAAACAATGAATCACTGGATGACGAGCATGTGCAACGTGAATTCTGAAAGAATGACAATTCCATAGCTCTTTCTTGCATAAATAGTATTCCACACATGTAACCACAGTTCTATTTTTAATTAACCATATTTAAATCCCTTCGGAGCTGTCGGATTCAACATCCAATTATCTCATACAAAACTTAGGAACTCTTTCCCGGTTAGCAAAATATATATAGCAGAAAAATTGTTGTAAACGGTCAGAAACAAGCCTTTCACCTGGAAGAGTTCTTTCCGAAAAATTACAACTGTCTCCGTCGAAGAAATCAAACAACCACATCAACCGTAAACCATTGGAAAACAACCTGCACAAATCCCATTAGCTGGCTCATTTACAACATTATTGCTAGGCTTCCACAGCAGAAAAGTTATCAATTTGCTTTTTTTCAGAATTAACTAAAGCGTATGAAATGCGACTCACACACCGAAGTACAAACTTGTAAACTCTAAAACAGAAGAATTAAAACAAGTATATAAGTGGCACATCAAAAGATATCAACTATGGCGTAGTCAGCATCCACGCTCCGATGCACAAAAATGTGCCACTCTTCACAAAATTTTTTAAGTTGTTTTACCTAGCTGATTTATGACTTATGCTTTTCATTTCATTGTATCCAGACATGCATGCGTATGTCAAAATCTTCGTCAAAAAGAAAAAAAAGCCTTTTGGAATGAGAAATATGTTAAATGACAATACATTTTAGAAATTATAAACAGTAAATGTAATGACAAAGAAACCGCTAGACAGCTAAGTCGATTCGCCATTCGCCACTTTATCCTGCCAATGTCAGAGTTTTTAAGATATGTTATGCTATAAAACATGTCTATTCCAAATTTAATAGACTATGTTACTGCAACCACCGAAAATTTAATCAGGAGCTACCAAATGTTTCCATTCATTTCCAGGAAAAATAATTACCATTACTCAGTAAAAGCAACCTGCCTAAAATAGAATCACAAATGCAAAGCATCGACAAAAAAAAAAATCAAAGATTACTTTCATGTACTCACTAACGCTTTCTCCTGCTCACCACAAGCCCTGAGGGCTTGGGAGAAGATTCCACCTTCTTTTGCTTTCCCGTTCAGATGACAATTAACAAAATGCCTACAAAGTTAGCACATAGGCATCAACACCGCCCTGCAATCAAAAATATTTGAAGGGTCAAAAAGATAGGAGTTACACCTTGATTACCCAAAGACATTGGGAATGATTCGGAATTGAAATGGAAAGAGATAGGTGAGAAATGGAAAAGAAATGAAGGGATAAGACACCGAAATACATAATAAAAGGAACTTAAAATCTTACTAGAAACAGAACTATAAAACTGAAATATCCCTTCATTCTAATAACCCAACTGTAACCAGTTTTCGAGTAAATAAAAAGTTCGATAAAAAATGATATAATATGGAAGTACTTTGTCACTTCATTCCGAGATCTGTGATACACTCCTAACATTGGAAGGGCTTTTTTCATCCACTCAGAGTGATGGTCACATTACAACAGAGAGTCACTAAAATATACAAAAGTGATGCTACTGTAAGTAATGTTACCGAAATGCGCAAACAGACAGTTGAACAAAAATCATAAGAGGAAGTAAACTATGGTACAAGTCGATAGTAACATCTAGATCAAAAATTTTATGAACAAAATGGAACATTTCTGAAACTTTACCAAAAATATTTCATTAAGGCATCATCAGAAAACACGACATGAAAATTATACGCAATCATCGATAACGTTTTCCATGTTATTGTATATACTCATATAACAAAGGATTACAGTCTCGGATTTTAAGAATGACTATTTCACGAAGGATGTCCATTTTTTTTCTCTTCACCATATCCAATTCTGCTATAAAATGTGGGCTGAAAGGATTATAAAGTTTGAATGAAGATTTAAGATCATGATAAATGAAGAAAAATACCAGAAATTCCCAAAATTTTGCATGTAAAATCAAAATAGGTGAGAACCGTCGAAATTTCGTCGTCCTACAACAATGTATAATAAGTTTCTAATACTACAGAGAACCTGCAGGTCGTAAGTAACATTTTTATCCTCATCCTCAGAATCACTTGATCCATCATTTAACACGCTTCGTCCAGAAGAAATCGCATTTGAATGCCCAGAATCCTTCGAGACAAATTTTGCGAAACACTTAATTGAATAAATAATAAAACAAAGAGATTTCGACACTAAAAAAAGCTGTATCTTGTGAAAAAAAAAAAAAAAAGAAAAAGAAACTAACGGTGTCACAAACGCGAACAGGTCTTTTGCTCACAGGAATACGATAACTGTGTGAAGAGCACATACCGCATACGACATTACCACAAGCCCGACAGTGGTGCTGAAAAGTTACTGAATTGTAATGAACTACTTAATGCAAATTTGTTAGGAATTCGTTTTTTCTTTACCCTACCTCATCCTCAAGTCACTAATTTACTTTAAAATTTTGGATAATATTTATTTTTCAGCCATTCATTGCTAGCAACAATTTTTGTACTGCAGGAAATATTTCGTCAAGTATAAATTGAAAAAGCAACGATGAACTTGTAAAAATAGAGATTTCAAAGCATAAAGGATGAAAGACCTTCCCTACCACAGTCAACTGTCACGGAAGAACTGGTATTTGAAGGTCTTAAAATTGCACGAGCAGACTCAAACTAAAAGGTCAGGTCAAGTGGCATGCTACCTCCTGTTTGCTTGCAGACCTCACTATACAGTAAATGTTCTAGTAAAATGAAAGCATCACTTTTTCCTTTCCAAAAACAAAGAATTTTAGAGAATACAGCAATCGTGGGAAAAAATGCTACTATGCTGAAAATAGATTAGTGAGGGCACACACCCTACGCTGTATCACGGTGAACTGCGTCCTTTGACAAGCCATGCATTTAGTTGCTTCACCATCAGGAACCCAAACTGCAGCATGTTCAGTCGCGGGTTTTTTTCCACCTGGAACAATTTAAACCTTAATAACGAACGTGATTAATTTTGACAATATGTTTCAATGTCCATCAAAAAAAATGAAAACGCTAAATAAACTGCACCAATATTTATTGACCAAAATTTAACTTTTCGAATTAATTGAGTCGCATAAATGAAATGGTAAAATATCAAAGAATAGGCTACCTCTAGTAAGAATATCATGTACGCAACGTTCAATGTGTAAAATCCATTCCTTTTTCTCTGTACTTGTTGCTGCAAAAACAGCGAAGGACTTCAATTTCGTTTTAATAAGCCAACCATTCTTCATATCTTAATAGAAAAAAAATCTAATGAAAACTTTTGCACACACAATAACCGAAAGTTACACATTTATTTTCGAAAATAATGTTCGAATCTCTGGAACATATGTTTGGTGCTCGTCTCCCTTATAGCTGAAACTCATGGACAGACTTTCATTAATAAAAGGACATCTTTCATGGATGAAGCATTTTATTGAACAAAAAGAAAAAAAAACATATTACCGCCCTCATCTTCAAGATCTTGCAGCTGCACTTCTTCCAGTGGAATTACATGTTGTTTGTTGTAACGTTTTTTTGAGATTAAAATATTGCCATAAACCAAAATATCATTGAAAAGGAAAAACTGACGCGGCTTGGGCTTCTTCCTAAAAACAACTATAACTGCCGATCTTCAGATACCGCCAAATTTACCGAACTTTCTTCGCACTCACCTACACATTTTCACCAATACTCCTTCACCGACCAAAACTCGTCCATATGCTGCTAACTGCTGACCAGTACTTCCGAAACAAGCCTCAACATTTAAAATACGGCGAGTATTTACTTCACTATTCACTGTAAAATAAGTTGCTGTTTTTATACCATGAATAAATGTAAGTGAATAAGATTTAGAGAACTTCAGCTGAAAAGCCGTGATAGAGACCAAATGGTACTCGTTTGCTTAGTTCTAATTAATCTAAGCTTTAACTGTATGTGGTTGGAAGTCTAAGTACAATCCAAATTACTCTAAATAAGCGTCTTAGCTTATGTAAGCGTTTCAATAGCCATGTTTAGCGCTGCTATTTTAACAACTAAAACTGACAATCTTTTTTTGTTTGAAGTGTTATCGCATGTTCGAACAACCCACTCCATTCTTAATCAAATATAGTCAGGATAGAAATTATTTTCCTTCCTAAACTAATGACGTTGTTCTTTTTTGTTTCGTTTCCGTTCGTAGCAGATTTGTTGTGAGAAATAACCGAAAGAAACATGAAGCATTAACAATTTGGATTAGAAGTTATAAGGACAAACCTAAGCGGTCGACCATTGCTTATTTTTGCTAAATCACCACTATATGATTCAAACCTGGAAATGCTTTCAATAATTACTAGAGACTTTGTTCAAGATAGTTTGAGTTAGCAAAAACAAACGAATCAACTGAAAGGATCAAGATAAAATCAAACCGATAACCATAAAAAGTCCGAAATGCAGCTGATTCTTTCTGAAATTAGCTAACCAACCATCTACTTTGTACAGCATCATTCTTCCCAATTATGTGTCCTGTTCTCCTTCAAACCTTTCATCCCATTAAATCCACACCCTACCAAAAGAAGAAGCTGCGCGTAACTTGTGCCACTAGCAAACATCCCATACAATTCGGGACTCGGTTCATGTACCACGTACTATACTATCTTACACCACAATGTAGAATATACTGTCTTACAGTCACTTTTCTGTCTTTACAATCCAGACGTGCATACAAGCACATCGTGTTTTGGCAACTCGTCTTTAGACCCGCCACGTACCGCAGTATTTCAGCATCGTTGCTGTTGTATTTGCTGAGCGCTAAGATTGTTGTTCGTAGTTCATTTGACAATTTCTTGATCACTTTATGATAACATTGCCTCCTCTTTCTTCTGTGATCGTAAACACGATATTGCAGCTCACTTTAACAAGAATTTTCTTATTTTTACTTCCTCCTCTGCTGCTATTTCTTTACTCACAGCCTCCTTTGTTACACATTCTGTAATGCCATCGAGCTGTAACATCCATAATCCAAAAGGCACTTCCACGGAAATCCAATACGCATAATATTCACGGAAGGGTGACAATGTTGCCTTTAAAGAAGCCAAATCTATGCGTCCCATACCGTCTAAAGGAAACACAGTGGGAAAAACGTAAGATGAATCGTCTGAGATCCAACGTTTTCATTTCAGAACGTTGATTTATCTCTCTGACATTCGTGTTGGCTACGGCGGGGTCTGTTGGGTAAGGTGGAGGGGGGGAGGGGAAGGTGGCGTTAGATGGAATTTTTAGAGCAGATTTCCAGGAGCTAAATTTCTCCGCTCGTTTCTGTTTTGAAGTATCATGCAAATTTGGTGGTTCTTTGATTTTGTTGGGCACTCTTGTTATTGATTTTCTCTTTTAAACGGCTTCTGGAAATCTTCATTCTTCACTGTGAGAGACGTAAACATTTGCAATTTCGGAGAATCATGTCAGTTTACAAACAAATAATCAGTTATAATTTCCTGAAAGTATGCCTCTACGACTGGATGTGAAAAAGAAATTGTTGGCCAGATCAGATCGCGTCAAATGCGTTGATTTGCATCCAGCTGAAACATGGATGCTTGTGGCCCTTTACAACGGCAACGTTCATGTATGGAATTACGAAAATCAGCAGCTTGTCAAATCCTTCGAGGTTTTTATGCTTGAATAATTTCCGAAATTTTTGAATCTGAAGAACTAAGCTGGTATTACAGTCCCACGAACTTAATGTTTTCAGAGTTCATAAATTTTATGGTTTAACTCGTTGCAGTTTCCATCTTCCTTAGACAACTACGCCAGTACATATCTCGTTCTTTGTGAGTATACACTACAAAGTATTAAGATACGGAATAAGCTTAGTATTATACCAGCCTCTTTCACTAATGAAACTTACTCCTCAGGTTTGCGAACTACCAGTGCGATGCGCAAAATTTGTTCCGCGCAAAAATTGGATAATAACAGGATCTGATGACATGCATATCCGTATTTTTAATTACAATACCCTGGAACGAATACATCAGTTTGAAGCACATTCCGATTACCTGCGATCCATTGCTGTTCATCCATCTCAACCTTTCATTTTGACTTCGAGTGATGATATGCTCATCAAACTTTGGGATTGGGATAATAAATGGAGTGTGAAGCAGACCTTTGAAGGTTGTTTCCTGAATTTCTTCTTTTTTCCTAAGAATGAAAAGCTTGAAATAAAGAGGGGGATTGTAGGGCTAATTCTTTCCTAACATGGTCCTGATACTGATCTTTCCTGATAGCTTAACTAATCAACCTTATAACTTCATTTCAGGCCATACCCATTATGTAATGCAGTTGGTTATCAATCCAAAAGACAACAATACTTTTGCAACTGCCTCGCTTGATAAGACATTGAAAGTTTGGCAGTTTGGTAGCCCTACAGCAAATTTTACTTTGGAAGGTCATGAAAAAGGTGTAAATTGTGTTGATTATTATCACGGTGGTGATAGACCATATCTGATTTCGGGTGCAGATGATCGTCTCGTTAAAATATGGGATTACCAGAATAAAACATGTGTTGCTACTCTGGATGGGCATGCACAGAATGTATCAGCGGTTTGCTTCCATCCGGAGTTACCGGTTATTATTACTGGTTCAGAAGATTCGACAGTTAGGTTGTGGCATGCCAGTACGTATAGGTACGTAGCGCTATTCCATTGTATTGTTCTGCGTCGTGTACAAATTATTGATGAGAAGTCAAAATTAACTATTAGTTTTATGCTTTTTGTACAGTTTCATGTACATATAGGTTGGAAACGACTCTCAATTATGGCCTTGAACGTGTTTGGTGCATTCACGCCTTACGAGGCTCAAATACAATTGCTATCGGCTATGATGAAGGCTCAGTAACAGTTAAATTGGGTAGGGAAGAACCAGCTGTTAGTATGGATTCAAGTGGAAAGATTTTATGGGCTAAGCATTCCGAAATGCAACAAGCTAATCTGAAGACACTTGATGCTGCCACGTTGGAACAGATGCAAGGTCGCCTTATTATTCACCGATAAATTTATTCTGAAATTTACACTTTTCAATTAAATGCACATGAAGCAATCGTCATTTTATCGATGTGTTCTTTCGCGCTATCGATGTTATGTTTTGATTTTGTCCGATTTTAATTTTTCCGTCTTTACTGACTGTCTCCATTTAAGTTTTGATATCTCGTCGGTGATCCCTCCGAAATTTGTGTGCAGTTCTTGGTCCATCGTTTATTTTTCGCTTCTGGCAGTTGTTGTAAACTTGATACCTTGCGAGTTTTGTATTTTTTGATTTTCCATTTTTATTACAGATGGTGAGCGTATTTCGCTGTCGATAAAAGATATAGGTTCATGCGAAATATACCCGCAAACGTTGGCTCATAACTCTAACGGACGTTATGTAGTCGCTTGTGGTGATGGTGAATATATTGTCTACACTGCGATGGCCTTGCGTAATAAGGTAGTTTAAAGGATGCGTTTTCATTTTTGATATTTGTTCCAGGTAATATTCAAGTTACTGACACCTTAATCACGATCTAGGTAGTGATAAGGATTGATTAGAAAGCTCACATTAGCAGGTTAGTGAGTATCACTTTTTAAGTGACTCTTGAAAGCTAAATTAGCAAGGTTTGTATGGTTTGGTTTCTATTACGCATAACACAATCATCTTGTCAGTGTATGATTTTCGAATATTCCAGGCTTTTGGCTCTGGTTTAGAATTTGTGTGGAGTACCGATCCTTCAGAATATGCAGTCCGTGAATCAGCATCGAGCATTAAAATTTTCAAAAATTTCAAGGTTTATTTACTTTCAAATGCATATTGGCGTCCAAATATTTTTTCTTTCTGTATTCTAAGTATTTATGACTTACAGGAAGTACGCACGTTACGTCCTGATATGATTATGGAAGGCATAGAAGGTGGACCACTCATTGCTGCTCGTTCTGTGAATGCCTTATGCTTTTTTGATTGGGAAACAGGATTTTTGATCCGTCGAATAGAAATATCGGCCAAACATGTTTATTGGTCTGACAGCGCTGAAATGGTACACTTTAAAACAATCTGTTTTACGTGGTTTACAAAGCCTAATCAGTTTTTTCTTTTTCTTTTTTTTTTTTAATTTACAGCAAAAAGATGTATTAAACCTATCTTATGCACATATTGTAGGTTTCAATTGCTAGTGACGATACATTTTACATACTGAAATATAATAAGGAAGCGGTAGAAAATGTAAGATCAACTGATATAGATGGTATTGACGATGCTTTCGACGTCATCGGTATGCAGATTTTTGTAAGGAGCAACCCACGTTGCTGTTCTATTACGTTATTTCCAGCCATATGACTTGATAAAAATGGTTTTTTGACTTTACTTATATTATATTTCATGTGTCCCCTAATGTTTTTTGCACTGACAATGAACATTCAGCGTAAGAGTTACCCTGAAAAAGTGAAATTTGTTCAAGTCAGATAGAAATTTTTGGTACTCACTAATTCCATCTTTGAAGCAAATGTTTTAGTAATAAAATTGTTAATTGCACTTTTTTCTACCTTCCAGGTGAAGTACAGGAGAGTATCAAGACAGCTATGTGGGTTGGTGATTGCTTCATATTTACGACTGACCTAAATCGGCTGAACTATTATGTTGGGGGAGAAATAGTCACTATTGCCCATATGGATCGTCCTCTCTATTTAGTGAGTTGGAAACTTTCACTTAGTAGAGCGTCAAAATCATAGCCATTAATATAATAGCAGAAATACGAGCAAAATCATAACCATTAACGTAATAGGACAAATAAGAGCAGAAATGGCTTTTTTTTCCTCTTGCAGTTTTTATTTTTCTCTCTGTGAAGTCCAAAATATTTTCCCAATGCGGACTTTACTCGTTTTTCTATTATTTTAGCTGGGTTATACCCCAAAGGAAAGCAGGCTGTACCTGTGTGATAAAGACCATAATTTCGTCTCCTATCGTTTGCTGTTATCAGTACTTGAGTACCAAACTGCAGTTATGCGTCGTGATTTTGACACAGCAAATACCGTAAGGTTTCTGAAAGTTGATACTTGAAATCGTAAGTCGGTATTAGCTTCGTTTTTACTGAATTTAAATATTTAACGTTCATTCCTGGATATTTTAACATTTCTCCCGAGCAGTACCACATTTTGAAGATGTTACCAATAATACCACGTGATCATCGAACTCGTGTGGCGCACTTCCTCGAGAAACAAGGATTCAAGAAGCAAGCGCTGGTGGTTAGTCAGGATCCAGACCATCGTTTTGAGCTTGCTCTTTCCCTTGGAGATTTAAAACTGGCGTATGATCTTGCCGTAACTGCTGATTCGGAGGAAAAATGGCGACAGCTTTCTCAAGCAGCTACACTGCAGAGCGAACTTATGTTAGCCGGGGAATGTCTTGGCCGGGCCCGTGATTATGGTGGATTGTTATTGTTAGCAACATCTGCTGGGTCAGCTGCGTTGGTATGTGTTTCTTAAAAAATTTTCCTTTCGAATATATTTTTTGAGACTCATAATTGGAATTAGCAATCTTCATGACACCGAATTATTGTTATTGTTAGGCGACACTATTAATCTTTTAGTATTAGTGTGACGCGCACATTACCCGCTTATATCTTTAAGTATTTACATGCATGGTTTACTTTGTTTGACATTAGCTCTCTGCTGCACATTATATTTAGTGGAAAAAAAAAAAAGAGAAACAATATTTGGAACACAAACCAAATGAGAGGAGGCATAAATGAGGCACGCTGTATCAATTTATGCTATTTTTCCTGTTTTCTAGTTGTCTAAGCTAGCATCCGATGCACAACTTTCGGCGCAACATAACTCATCTTTCCTTTCATACCTTATGCTCGGTGACTTGAACAAA